CCTGGAGCGGGGCATGCGTCAGCTGCAGCCTTGGTGCCTGCAATAGCACTGGCCTCTCCCTGCAAGACCCCTGCCCACCATGCAACTGAAGGGTAGACAGGGGAGGATGCCATGCCAGAGGGGGAAGGGCACTGGCAACCTCACGACACTCACCTTCTTTCAGCCACTCTGAGTTACACTTTTTTAAAAAAGTTATAGTCCTTCTGCTCCTTGGGACTTAAGTTTAAAACAACTCTTTTCTTGGAGAGGATCACGCTGGGAGTGGCGGCATAGAGGACAGATCCCTGGCTTTGGAATCAGAAGGCCTGAAGTTGAGTCCAGGTTCTTTTGTGGACTCTTTAAACGACCCCAGAGAAATGTATCTGAGCTTCAGTTTCTCCATCTGTGAAGTTGAAATTTAGAAAATCAAAATGGCCCCACCCAGCCTCCCAGCCTTGCCTGAGCATCAGTGTGAGAAGGTTCATCCAATGGACACTCCTGGGCACTGCGTGAAGGTGCAGGCCTCAGCAGGCCCAGTTGGGTAAGGTGTGGGCCTGGTGATCACTTTGCAAATTGTGAAGGGCATGTGCATGCCATTGTTTTTATTTTATTGCATGTGAGATTGCTTTTCTCTTGCTGCCTAACAGATCGCCTGATGCATAGTTTCCATGCATCAGGAGACCAGGCACCTGGGTCCATTGCTCAGGGTCTTTCTAGGCTAAATCAAGGTGTCAGCAGGACTGTGATCCCATCTGAGGCTCAGGGTCTTCTTCAAAGCACATTCAGGTGTTGACAGAATTCATCTCTTTGTGGTTGTAGGATTGATGTCCCTGTTTTCTGGCTGGCTGTTGGCTAGAGGTCACTGTTGGCAACTGGAAGCACCCTCAGGTTCAAATCCTGCCTTTGGTTATGTCAGAGTGAACTCATTAGTAATTTAACCTTGGGACACAGAGCCATCGTATTCTCCATCCCTGCCCAAACCCAAGTGGAGGGATTACACAGGGCATGGACAGTAGTAGGTGTGAATCTGGGGTTATCTTAGAATCCTTCCTACCACGTATGCCCATTTCAAGATGGCCTGGATATGGCATGTGGGCCACTGACGTTTTTTGGAAGCAATCAGGGACACACGTCTTTTCTCGGGCTTCAGTCTTGAGAGAGAAGACAGCAGGCTTGATGAACTCTGTTATATGTTGGACCTTGTTTCTTTCCCTCCGTTCCTCCCTAGCTGATAGGGTGATCTACTTGTTCCGTTGGTTACTGACAGTCCTATGAGACAGCCCTTCCTTTCCCAGGCTTGGGTTCACCATTTTCTTGCTTAAAATCATCAGGGGATGTCCGAGCTGGAAGGGCCGTTGGGTATCATCTAGTCCAGCAGTTCCTGTGAGAACAACCACATAAGAAGAATCACCTGGGAACTCGTTCAAAAGACAGACTTGCAGGAGCTCCTGATTCAGTAGGTCTGGGTTGGGTACAGGAATCTGCACGTTTTACAAATGCTGCAGATAAAGGGCTTGATGAACAGCTAGGTTTCAAATAAACAAAACAAAGTAGGCAGAATCCTTAAAACTGGAAGTAAGAGATGAGCTGAATCTGATGTCTGTGGGTCCTGCCCAGCTTCTCCAGCAGCTAGCTACTCCACCTGTTTGCTCACATTTCTCTCTCAGCAGTCTCATGATGTGTTTCTTATTTTTTTATTTTTGGTGATACGTAATAATTATACATATATATGGGCTGCATATGATATTTTGATACATGCATAGAATTTGTAATGACCAAGTCAGGGTATTTGAGATATTTACAATCTCAAACACTTATCACTTTTTTTTGTGTTGGTATTATTTCAACTCTCTTCTAGCTATTCTGAAATATACAATACATTGTTATTAACTACAGTCATCCTACTCTGCATTGAATATTAGAATTTACTCCTTCTACCTAACTGTATGCTTGCACTCATTCATCAACCTTTCTTCACCCCCTCCAACCCCCTTCTCAGCCTCTGGTAACTATCGTTTTACTCTCTACCTCCATGAGACCAATGTTTTAGGCCTCACATGTGAGTGAGAACAGGAAATATTTGTCTTTCTGTGCCTGGTTTATTTCACTTAACATAATGACCTTTAGTGACATCCATGTGGCTGCAAATGACAGGGTTTCATTCTTTTTTATGGGTGGATAGTATTCCATTGTGATATATACCACATTTTCCGTATCCATTCGTCTATTGATGGGTACTTAGTTTGCTTCCATATCTTGGCTATTGGGAACAGTTCTGCAATAAACATGGGGCTGCAGGTGTCCCTTTGACATACTGATTTCCTTTCTTTTGGATAAATACCCAGTAGGGGGATGGCTGGATCTATTTTTAGTTCTATTTTTAGTTCTTTGAGGAACCTGTATACCGTTTTCCATAGAGGCTGTGCTAATTTACATTGCCACCAGCAGCGTATAAGAGGCTCCTTTTCTCTGATTTCTTGCCAGCATTGTTATTGTATGTTTCGTCTTTTTGATAATAGCCATCCTGACTGGGGTGAGATCATCTCTCAGTGTGGTTTGCATATGCATTTCCCTGATGATTAGTGACGATGAGCATTTTTTTCATGTACCTGTTGGCCATTTGTGTGTCTTCTTTGAGAAGCTCTTAACTATCTCACAGAACAGGTGGGAGCTTTGCCGTGAAGGGGGACCCGGGACTGCAGCAACAGGCTGCAGCTTCAGGCCCCAGGAGACCGCTCCTTCGCCAGCCTCAGGATGGCATCGGGAGGCCCTGCCTGCTTCCCCTCTTCCTTGTCATTGAGAATCTCCCAAATCTCCCAGCCATGCTTCCCCCAGCCACATCCTGAGCAGCACGCAGGCCCAAATTGAGTTGTAGATGTGAATTATTTAGAGGCACCAGTGGAATATTGTTGTATCAGTAACACAGACTATCACTTTGTGGCCTTGGGGCGGCCTCTGTGCACACTCCATCACTATTTTCTCTCATGAATAATGGAGGAGCTGAATTACTCTGCGTGTAGAGGATTCATACCCTGAGAAAACAAGGTTGCTCTGAAATTAATTTTCTGTACTAAAAGAGTGACAGAAAATCAATTAATCGCATATTATTCTATACGGAGACAGAGTAAAGGAAAGAGAGGATATAGCTCAGGCCATACGTGAGCAAGTGCCCAGGGTGGCTGAGAGCTTTGTCGGGGCTAACCCCAACTAGGTGGCCCTGAAAGTTCATATATCCTACCAAGGACACCAGGGTGAGGGGTTTTCCAGGCCTGTTGCTGTGCTGAGTGCCTTTTTTTTTTTTTTGGCAACTTTATTGTCACTTTCCCCTTCCCTGACCCTTAGTCCTCCCCAGCTCCCTCAAACCACCTCAAGGGCCAGTTTTGCTTCTCTAAGGCAAACCACAGAGATCTCTGTCCTTTGTGCCAAGATAAGGGGGAGGTTTTCTCTGCCTGCAGCACTTGCTGGTTATCCATTCCTTAGGGGAGCCCCTTCCCCTTTACTTTTAATTCATTCCTTAGGTGATCCCCTTCCCCTTTATTTTAATCTCAAGAAAAATCTCAAGTAAAGATTCCCTATGCTTATTCTCTCTGACGTTTAAACATCCCAGATGACTGGAGGCATGTCCTGGCCAACTGGATCCCAAAACAAAAGAATGAGCTTTGCATGGTGGAATTTCAAGCAATTGGTCATTGGATGAGAGACAAGATTTTCAGGTCTGCAGGGCATCTGGTGTTGAGATTTCCTGGGACCTGTGCAATTGCGCCACCCTGTCGGCAGCTAGCACCTCCGCCTTTTTGTAAAACTGGCACCTTTTTGTGTCTCTTTTCTGCACACAGCTTGCAAAGAAGGCTGGGACACTCTTCTTATATAGAATATAGGCGACAAAGACGACAAAGATACTGAGGCTGGCTTCCTCCAGAGGAGAACAAGGTTAACCAGCCTGTCCCTCACTACTATTTAAAGAGGAGCTCGAACTGAAGAACCTGGGCTTCTCTCCATCACCTCTCAGCGAAGCCCGTGATGCCCCCCCACTGAGCGAAACGCCAAACATCCCTGCAGGCTGGGCAGGGGGTGGGGGAGGACAGGCAGGAAAGCCATGAAGCTCTGATGGCCACGTGACCAGCTCCTTCCTGGTCTCATCCACCTGGATTAGCAGAACCACTTGGATACAGCAGCCTGATGAGGGGTAACCATGTAAGGTCTCATAGAGTAGGAGGCTGGACTGCATTAAAGTCTCCAGCACACACTGTTCTCCCACCCCCACGGATTTATTTTTTTTCCATTGGATTTGACAATATGCTGAATTGATGCGTTGAAAGCTAAGAAGGTTTTGAAGAAAGCCTTTCTTGCTGGCTTGCGCTTTTTGCTGCTGTTACACTACATTACTCTACATCCCCTTCCTCCACTAAAAAGGAACAAATGGCCTGCTTATCAGCTGCCTGCGTCTCCCCCCGCGGCTGACATGCAGGCAGATGTGTTGCATCCTGCAATTCTGATGCGACGCCTCGGCACCCCAGCCGGCTGACAGGCAGGTGCACTGCACGCCCCAGCTTGGCTCTGGCGCCGCTGCCTGCCCTGCTCCGCGGTGGCAGGATGCTGGGTCTGCCCTTAAAGTCAGTGTCTGGAGATGACAACCATCCCCCATGCAGTACAGCAGCAGCCAGGCTCACATCAGGCCCGAGCCCTGAACGGAGGGAGGCAGGAGAGGATGCGGGAGCAGCTGGGCACCTTTTACCCCACGACAGGAACACCTGTTTCCAACTGCAGATTGCTTAGAAATCCAATTTTTCCAAAAAGTCATTTTAATTGCACTATGGGTGTTCTCCATTTAAAGAAACGGGATGTGGCGGGGGAGGGGAGTGGAGGTGGTGTCGGTTCAGTTTTTGGTGAGAGAAAAAAGTATTTTTACTGATAGAGATTTTAGCTCCTCCCAATTCTTGCTTAAATTATCCAACTCTTGGGTTATAAATTTGCTTTTTAGTGACAGCATTGCTGCAGCCTGCAGGGTCTCTGAAGAATGGGTCTTCATCAGAGGGCATGTCTCCTGGCAAGGGGGCATTTGCTGCCTGCTGCCCAGCTCTGAGCAACAGCCCGGAGCCCTGCTGGCTGCTCTCCGCACCCTGAAGCCGGCTCTGAGTTCGACCAATGCTCAGCCTTCGCTGGTGCGGCCAGGGCTCTCATCTGCTGCTTCCATTTCAGGTGAGGACACTGGGGATAGCTGTGCTTCCATGGTGGATTATGTCTATAGACATAGACAGGAACTCAAATCCCTGCTCTGCTGCAGCATTATTTTGGTCTGAGTTACCTGTCTCAGTTTCCCTTTCCACCCTGTAGAGGCTCTGATCCAGCAGGAGCTAGGCGCTCACTGCGGAGAATAAGCACCGTGGAGTGGAGGACAGAGGTGCAGCTCAGGGCTGCCCGAACGTGCTGGGCCGGCTCCCCGCCCCCACACTCCCACCCTCCTCAGAGGGTGCCACATGTGGAGCCCAGCGAGGTCCCCTCCCACGGGGGCAGTTGGGAGCCTGCACTCTCAATGGGCCCATGTTTATTGACTTATAAATCTACTCTGTTTAGTGGCTCATTAGAAAGGTACCGCTCTCCCACTGTGGGCTCCCCTCAGTCTCTCCAGGTAAGCTTCAGAGCCCTTTGCCAAAGCTCTGGGGTTTGGGGAAACAGACGCCAAGGGTCTGCAGGAGTTGGAGCCAGCAAGGGGAGGAGAGCACACAGCAGCCCCCAGTGGGACCCTGTAAACAAACCCAGCCTCATTAGTTTTCTTAGTGCCTCACCCACCTGTTGCGTTTCATGTCTTCTACTTTGTCCTGGTTCCATACACACCCTTTCCAGGGAGGCAGAGATTATGACTCCTTTTTCACAGATGAGAATACTGAGGCTAAATTTATGTGTCCAAGGGGCATAGCTACAGAGAACCTAGGCTTTGTGATCCCAGCTTACTGCTCTTTCTACTATGCCATGCTGTAAATGGGATAGAGACAGGAGGCCTGCCTGTTGATTCTTCTTCTTCTTCTTCTTTTTTTTTTTTTTGAGATGGAGTTTCACTCTTGTTACCCAGGCTGGAGTGCAATGGCATGATTTTGGCTCACTGCAACCTCCGTCTCCCAGGTTCAAGTGATTCTCCTGCCTCAGCTTCTGGAATAATTGGGATTACAGGTGCCCACTACCATGCCCGGCTAATTTTTGTATTTTTAGTAGACACTGGCTTTTACCATGTTGGCCAGGCTGGTCTCAAACTCCTGACCTCAGGTGATCCACCCATCTTGGCCTCCCAAAGTGCTGGGATTACAGGCGTGAACCACCATGCCAGGCCTGATTCATTTTTATTGCAGACCCCCAAGTAAAGGCCACCTGAAATTCCCTCCCCCTTGGTACTTGTTGATTGTTGGGATGATGGCAGGGAGATGGCTATAGAGATAAGACACTCTTTCTACAAATTTGGTTCAATAGACATAGACAGAACTCATAAGTCAGCCACTGGGCTGCAGGAATAAGAATTGCATGCTCCAATGAACAATTTGGAAAATAAGAATCCAAGCTTCTGTCGGTTTCCATCTCCTTGCTTTTGTTGGTCATAAGAAGTAAGAAAGGACATTATTACGTCTCTAGCACCATCTGTGTTCTAGAATCGATGCCTAGTGCTATCACTTAAGCTTCACAATACACTTGTGAGATAGGCAAAATTATACCCCCGTTTGCAACTCAGCAAACTGAGGCTCAGAAGAGTCAGACAGCTTGTTAAGGCCAGGCAGTGAACAACTGACAAGAGTGGACTTCATCACAGGCGAGCCTGACACAGGCACTGCAGTGTGACCAATTTGTCGCAGCCCCTAAAGTTGTCCTGTAGGTTTCACTGAGTTTTCTGATCCTCTTGGTTTTGCAACAGTGCTGTCTGGCACTCAGGCCTCTCTCTGTACACGCCAAGGCCCTTCCTGCAGAGTGGAGAGACTGACTCTGCAAAGGGAAGGAGAGAACAGGCCCTGTCACCAGCCTTGCCTGGTAAGAAGGCCCTGTGGCAAGCTGATTTGACACTAATATGCAATTTGCATCTAAATTCTGCAGGCTTTCAGCTAATGTCCCATCTATATTGCATTGTTAAAGACCATCTTATAATGTGTTTAAACAGAAAATGTATTGTCTTAAAGTGGTGTTGAATGGAGGCACAGCTACACATGGTGGGAAGAACAATGTAGTTAACATCTCAAGACTATGTTGGAGTCTTGATTTGCATTCTAAGCCAGTTATGTGAATGTAGCCAAATTAGTTATTTTTTCTGAGCCTCAATTTCCTTATCTATAACATGAATATAATTATGTCTTCCTACCTGACTTAGCTTATATGTATATCAATGACATAATGTTTGTAAAAATTGCCTCATGATTTGTAATGTGTTACATCAATACGATGGATACTTAGAGTATACTTATTCCACTTTATTTACCACGTTGATTTCTTCCTTAGAAAAATCGAGAGAAATCTACATGCTCTTCTTTAGATTCCCTTTGCCCCGAACTATTGCTTGTGCTTTTAGAAAAAACTTAGTTGGAGGAAAGGTTCTGGTTCTTTGAAAATGTGAAAAGCATCTTAGACAGAGATAGCTGTCCAACAGCTGTATAAGTTGGGTCACTTTTTTAACAGCCACAAGATGCCATGAAACTATATGGAACTTGAAGGCAATAACGTACTGGCAGAATTTCTTACTGTTGGGTGGTACAAGCTCATTTTAAAACCATTGCTGGGTTAGACTGAAGTGAAGTTGCTTCCTGTGATTCTGGTGGGCACTGTCCATGCTTGTGGAAGTGGAGACCCACCATCCTTTCATGTGGAAGAAGTGATCTGCATTTGATGCTGTCATTCATTGGTTCATCCCATTTTTTTTCCTGCCAACATACCCATTGCAATCTAGAAGAAACTGATACTGGTTTTCTATTATCTTTTTCCTAGGAAAGCTATCAGCCATTGTCTGCTTTTTTGGATAGCGTGACAAATGGCTGATATTTCTGGCACTTGGCATATCCTTTATCTGGGAGAGTGAACGTAGAGTCTGCTTAATAAACAATTCAAAAGGAGATTGTGCTGTTAACTTGGTGTCTGTCAGGCTTTCTGAGGTGGAAGATTGTCCATGGATTCAGAAACTTCCAGGGTCTAAAGATTTGTAAGGTCCTCTGGTTGGGTTAGAGTGTGCACTAGAGCTGAATTCCTCAGATAGTGATGAAGAGGATAAAACCAAGGAATGGAATAAAACTGAGGTCATTTTGAGTCAAACTTGAGAAAAGCTATAAAGGAATTAGGAGAGGGATTATATCTGTTTGCAAATGTGTAGAGGTTGTGCCCTTTGTAATTGTCCTGTGCTAGTTCGGGCTTCTTTCCCCTTCCCTGTCATCCTTCTGCACGGGATCAATCTTAGGCTATGATTTAGTGTAGCATGCAAGGCAATGACATTCCAGGTAGCTACAAAACCTGTTTCTAGATTGCACTCTCTCAGAATTTCATTTATTTATGCCTCCATTCATTCAACAATTATTTATTGGGTGACTAATATGTGATAGACACACTTCCAGAGACTGGGATACAGCAGGGAACAAAAATTTCGGAGACCCTTTGCCTTCTTAGAGCTTAGATTTTAGTATGGGAAGGCAGATAATAAACATAAATAGTAAATATATCAGATGATATATGATATAGATATGGCAAAAAATAAATCAGAGTAATGAAGATAGGGAATGGAGGGGTAGTGCATCAAGTAGCAACCACTGGAGAGAAGCCCACTCTCCCACTTCCAGATCCAGCAAACAGGCCTCGCTTTGATGGGCATGTGATGTGAATTGCCTAAGGCTGCACACCAGCCTGGGCATGGCTGAGATATGGATTCAATTTTCCTGCCTTCTGGACTCCCTACAAGCTTTGCCCTCTTATCATTTTCTATTCCACTATTTAACTCATCACCCATCAAATTATTTGATGTCTTCATTTACAAATAATAAACATAAAGAAATTCTTTACATTGAGAAGCAGGTAAACCTATAAAACATACACAATATGTCTTGGGTGGGTTGATGAGCCAAATAAAGATGGATGTGACAGGAGGCAGGCTGGCCTTGAATGACCCCACTATCAAAGGCAACCCCTTGTGTCTAACCCATGGAGCCCCTGGACCCTCTCTGACATTTGCTAATTACAGTGACTAATTAGTATGTCATTGGCCTCTAATCATGTACCCAGACAAGATTAATAATGATGAAACCATGGAAATTAATTTACAACCATCTATATACTTCTCCTGGACCTGGCTAAGCTCACTCTTCTCTTCTGGGTAGGGGAAATAGGAAGTCCACAAGCAAGAGAACAAAGGGTCAAGGGAAAAGGAGACATTTTGGAGCTGCAGCTGAACTGGGAACAATCCCCTTCCCCAAGCAAGTGGCCCCATGGAACGCAGTGGCTTGGAGGAGTCAGAAACAAAAATAAGGAGAGGCAGAAAACCAAAGGACCTTGCCAGCCTCAAACTGATTAAATTGTATGCAGGGGTTTAAAATAAAATTAAAACTTTAATTATGAGACTCTGTAAGAGCAAAAGATGCTGAGAGTCAGGAAACCTGGATTTGATCCTTAGTTCTGCATCTCACTAGCCATTTGTGGTTGTTCCAGCCACCCAATCTCTCTAAGCCACAGGCATGTTGAAGTAAGAGCAAGGCAGCGGACTAGAATCATGTAGAGTCATCCTCAACTCCTTGCCCTTCCTCATCCTTCTCTTGTGCCACAAACCATAAGGATTCAGCCTCTGCTACCCTCTCACAGCCCTCCTCTCCCTCTGCCCCATCACCACCGCCATACATTAGGCTCTTGAGGTTTCTTATTTGTGCTTTTGTAATTGCTGTGTGGTGATCTCTAGGCCTGTTACTCCTCTACAAGTCAACCAGTTCTCCAAGCTAAAATAAAAGTAACAACACAACAACAGTTAAATACATTGCACCCTCCAGAAGTCCAGATTCTCTAGCAGGGCTCTTAGACTTATTCACAATTTGACCTCAGCCTGACTGAGGCCATCCTCTCTTTCCATATCCCCACCAAGCATACACTTGGCTCTTCCAGGTCATATATTCTTTTACTTCTGCCTTCTGCCCCCAAATCCAATATACTTTTTCTTATTTTTATTTTTAATCACAGTAAATATATAACATAATTTGCAT